GTGGAAGTCCATTCCAGTAGACACAAAAAAGATGCATGCAAGTCATAGGACAGAACCAAAGATACATTGATCAACTACCGAAACCATTACAAGATGAAGTATTAAACATCACAAATTTCATTTTTTATTACAACATTTTATAAATTTTGCCCAGGCTTAATGTTCTTATTTTCTTGTCAATTTCAGGATCAAAATATTCTTATTTTGTCCTTAGTTTTTATGCAATTTCAGCCTCAGTGTTCTTATAAATTGTTTTCTTATAAAATAAGTACATGTGAAAACTTTTAATATTGTTCCTGAAAATGTGGGTAGTAATGACCTAAATGTCTGAATTATTGTACTCTGGGGTCTGGGGGGGGGGGGGCTTGGGGGGGGGGGGGGGGGGGGGGGGTTGGCAAAAGCCCATATTTAGTGTCAAGGAAAACTTTTTGATTTGTCAATTTGTAAGAAAGATTTAAATTTGATTAGGCAAGACTTTTTGTATACCTTGTCTGCAAATATTTATTTTTTTTTATTTAAAAAAAAAAGAATTTGTCAAAGCTAAGAAAGTAGATGTACGGTAGTTATATGGTGATAGTTTGCTGTGAATTATGTTTTTGGTTGAAATTCAAATTTTGCTTCATGTGTATTCAAATGCAATGATGAGACACTACTTAAAAACATGGTAACTTACTTCAATATTGTTACATAACAGTTATATAAAGTTTACATGCAATTATTACTTAAGAGTGGGATTTTGTAAGTTCTCCTTGAGGTGTTTATTTTTGCATAGAGGGCATTATCTTAATGTGTCTGATAAATTTATTAATTTCTTGATTGATTGATTCAGGACCTATGGATTGCAAGCAGTGGTGGTGCCAGTGGGGGCAGGGAAGCATTTCTCCCCCCCCTTCCCCCCCCCCCCCCCTCGGACGGGCCTGGACCCCCCCTGTCGTCCGATAAACGACTAGGTCGTCGGACCGAAAATTAATCAAAACAATAATTTGCCTATCCAAATAACGCTTTTTTGATAGCTAATTGTTGTCTAAAAGCACCAAATCAAGCCATTAAACTCTCCCCATGGACCCTAACAGTTATTTTTTTATTCCGGGCAGTCGACTAATGCTTCGTAGTCGCCTTGGTCCGGACCACTCCGTCAGCAAATTTCTGCCGCCACCGCTGATTGTGAGCTCAACCTGGTTTCCTTAAAATCGCTACACTGTCGCTACAATGTTTTCGGTGTGTACTACATAGCGGTCCCGGACGCAATCATGAAGGCTCCCTGAACTGATCAACCAATCAGCATCGCTGAAAGCTGTCAGCCAAAGCGTGTAGTGAATGTATGGAAACCAAGCTTAAGAACTCCTCTAAAATAATATTAAATCAAAAGCCTTCTTATAAACCATTAGATACCAAAGTATTAACCATTAGAAGTTAATTTAATTAATCAATTAAATGTAATATTGTACAGAATGATAAGATAAACTGAGAAGGCAGGCTAATTAATATACATTTTTCATGTTTTATAAATTATGCTATTGAAATTATTAGCATATGTATGATGAGTAGCATATGTATGACAGTTATATATAATGTGCTTAAGTAAAATGTTCAAGAAATAAAAACTGATAAATGAAAATTGTCTGTTCATTTATTCATTCTTTATTATGTCTTTTATAAACATCACAATACAATTTGTAAATACAGTAAAATAAAAATAAGAATATAATCAAAACACTTAAATTGGGGAAGGGGATTGATGATTATGTAAGGGGAGGGGGTGTGGATCAAACTTAAAAAATAATGTGATAAAAAAACGGATTCTAACATAGCATTTGAACATAAAAAATATCATGAATTCCATTCCTATATAGGCCTATGGACCGTAACAGAAGAGAAATCTGACGACTAAGAAAAAAAATTCGGCCTTGCCGCATGACTCAAACCCAGTACCCTTTTTGTTGACTTTCTCTTCTCTAGAAGCTGAAATCACCTCTAGTTTGTGTACAACATTTCATGCACATCCCTTCAAATCTGGCCGATGCTGTTTTAAAGTTTGAAACTCCTGTTTAGTTTTGTAGATGTATGGGGAGCCCCGGAGTCCAACTTAAAAAAAAAAGCTATGAAGGTTTGTTGGAAATCTCCTCTAGTTTATGTGTACAAATTTTCATATAGGCCCGTTTAAAACTGGCGACACTGGACGCTTTTAAAGTTTTTGTAACAAGAACAAAAAATAAAACAAGAACAAGAACAGCTGAGCAGTGAGGATTTAGGTGGGAATAGAGAGGGCGGCAGACAAATAATTTCTGTTATCTCGAAGGAAATAGAGGGCGACAGACTGCAATTTACCGATATCAAGGCTTCTAAATTAATTACACTGCATAAAGAAAAAGTATGTTGCTGTTTGTTACGGTTACGGTTCTTTAAAACATATGAAGCTTTGAATCTTCACAGTAAAATACACCGACAATTACAATCAACATAATGTCAATTAATCGATATAAAATTCAATTAAATCTTTCAATAACTGGTAAAAACGCTACGAACCGATGATAAAAAATAACGTGTGATCTTTATTAAAACATGATTGCTGCCTCTATAATTACCGATTATCTAAAACTTTCATGAAGTTATTTTTGGTAGTTGCTAAATACAACGGTTCAGCCGAGGAGGCGTGGCTTCGTAACGTTGACGTCATGCATAATTTAAGCATCTGTATATTGTTTGTCTTAATTTTGCTCCTCGTGTGTGGGCATTGTAATAACACAGCATAGTAAAATACAGTCCGTACAACTAATTCCTCCATGGTACAACGAATTTAAGTTGTCCCTGTGTGTGTGTTTTTTTTCTCCAAAACTAGGATTTCTGGAATATTATCAATTTATGGGGCCTACACAGGGTGAAATAATACAAAGGCCATAATAGGTAGTCTTATTTTAGCGGTAGGAATAAGGCCGTAATTACAAAAAGAAATGAAAACAATTCAATGCCTATACTATGTAGGGCCTACTGCAATACTGTACTTAGTCTATGGATTTTTCCAATCTTAATCCGATTGTCTATAAAACAAAGACCAAAGACCCAAAAACGAAGACCCCTATTTTTTGTCTTTTATTTTAATGATAATAAACCAGGACGTCGGTTTGTATTTTCAAGGGTCTTCGTTTTATAGACACCCTATATGGGTGTGTTAAGATATGTGTTAGGATATGCTCTGATATTCCTATCTTATTTATATTTACATATGTTATACATTATTAATAGTGAAACTAACAGTTATAAAGGTGAAGAAACTCTTCAATAGTTTAGTGGTTACAGTTAGTGGTTTATTGATTGATGCTAAGACAGAGACCCAAGTCTTATATCCTGCATTCCAACATGATGAAGATATCCAAATGGCTTGTGAATTAACACTTGTATTATGGCATAGTTACCAACCGTCTCGCATCGTGCGCGGGGACGGTCCCGCATTTCAAAGTGATTTTGGATGAAATACGCATTTTACAAAAACACATGCGTGATCATAAATTTGCCACGCAGTTAGCTCAAGTCTATACGTGATAACGAATTCAGTGGAAAATGTATTTAAAATTAGAAGAAATTGATTTTATTAAATATAGGTCATGCAGTAGCTTAAGTCAATAGAGAACTTTGTTATCTCGTTCGAGAATCAATTCAGCAGGGAAAATTTCTCTTTCTCCACCAAAATAACCCAGCCAACCACGCACTTAGTAGAATTAGTAGAGGATCTGACTAAGATTTGTATGCACTTAATTTAGGAGAGAACATCTCAACTATTATAGACTAATATGAATCTTAGGAACAACATGGGATGTGTGCCAAAATCTCTATCCGGGACAAACAGCCCGAAAATGACCACACCCATTTTTAAATGGACACCCCCCTTTTTCATTGGAAATGCTACTTTAAACAGTAGGCTAGACATTATGAACATATTGGGAAAAAAAAGGTTTTTCTTTTATGAAAGAACACATATGATGAGGGGATCAAATTTCGGAAATCTCACCTTAATCACAAGTCCTGTTCATATGGAAATTAGATTAAATATGCAAAATAGGGGCTACACCCCATTTTTTACGGGAAGTGCTACCTTAAATAGTAGACTAGACAATCTCAACATATTGCAAACAAGAGTTTTTCTTTGATAAAAGGAACACATATGATGAGGGGATAACATTTCAGAAATCACACTGGTCACATGTCCTGTTTATGTGAAAATTAACTTAAATATGCAAAAAAAATATAATGGCCTCGTCTCAAAATACCCAAGATCTTGGGTAAATACCCAAGCAGTGGTCACACTGCCCAGAACCTGTCAGGGAGAGAGTCAGGTGATTTTATTTTGCATGCGATTAGAATATATTTGGTTCAATTGTACGTATGGTATTGGTGTCATTACCTGAAAGCAATCAATGAAAATACATTGGCCTATTTTTTGTATTATTGTACAGCGAAATTGCTTTTTTTGCCTTATTTTTAAAAAGAATTTGTTGTCGTTTTTAATGACCATTTAGTATTACCTTAAAGTTCTTTATATTTCATATAAAAATAAAGGCTACTAAAATCGTGTTAAAATATATTATAAAATATGCAAATGATGCATATGAAACAATTGGAAATGTCAAAGGCGTTTCTATTTAAACTTCAAACCAAATGAAAAGTGAGACTTTGAATAATAAAAAATAGAAATCACTTTTTTTTAAAGCAGCTGTTGGTGCCACCAGAACGCAAAACTTTTACGTTTTTTGCAGAAAATTGGCAAAATTTTCACTTTTAAAAGTTTTAATTTCAGAATCGACAGATTACTGTATGCTTTGTTCATAGTTACCAAACTATGAACTATGATTTGAAATGTGTGAGTACACCAGTTTGTTGGGAAGGGGGAAAAAGGGCCTGAGGTTCAGAGGCAGAGCCCTGAGGATCTGAGCATTTTAAGCTGTTTTAAATTGATTTCAAGAGCAGGTACAAAATTTTTTTAATAAAGCTACATACAATTTGAGTTTCAATGGAGGGCCTACATTATGTTTAATTTGAGCACCCTAACTATGTACACAAACATTTCATTACTTAAACAAACAAAGAATGAATAGGCATACTGATTAATGTTTAGTAGCATGTCAGTGAATTAAGTATTGACGTAAATACTGTCTAATGACTCAAGTTTAAACTGCATGATCATTTTTATATTTTTAATAAAACTAATTTCTTCTAATTTTAAATAGATTTTCCCCTGAATTTGGGACAATTCGTTATCACCCATAGACCTGTGCTAAATGCGTGACAAATTTATGATCACGCATGTGTTTCTGCAAAATGCGTGTTTCATCCAAAATCACTTTGAAGTGCGGGACCATCCCGCACGATGCGAGACGGTTGGTAACTATGTTTGTTTTCTCTCCAACTTTTATGGGGCCCCAGGTCGGCTTGACCCCCCCCCCCCTTGAATTCACCAAGGGTCTATAACACCTCAGCCCCACCATGGTTGGGCTGAGGTAAGAAAATCTATGATTATGGCCTCTCTGAGTGGCCGGAAATAGCACTCGCAGGTTTAATTAAACAAATATAGAAAATTCTAGTGAAACCTATAGAAAGAGAGATGAGTTTTGTACGTGGCACGTTATTGACATGAGGCGGGGAAAAACACTAAAATTCCTTATCAAAAAGCTTATAAATACAGTTAACCTTGCTTGTACGCCAAATTAGAGGCAGTCCTATTGGAAACTACTCTGATTGGTCAAGGAGTTTTGGTGGATGGATTTATGGAACGTGTGAGAGTGCGTCTTGAATATATAAAGGTCAATCTATTTTTAGTAACAAACACTGAAACAGTAGGGGTAGTCGGTTCTATCCTACATTTGACCCAAAAAACAATTGCAAAAAAACTTTTTCTGATGTTATCTGTAGCATAATGTCTAGAAAAGATGAATATGTAAATTTTAGCCAAAAATTGCACAAGCAGCAAGTGATTTTTCCAAAATGGCACCAAAAACTTTGTCACAGATAACAGTACAGTCTCTTGAAAATGCTGACAAATATGAATGACTCTTTAAGATAAATTCTGAATAGGCCTATTTATTGACTAAAAGTCTTTGGGCACAAAAGAAGAATAGATGATGGAATTTATAGCTTCTAACCTGGTTCAGGTACATCATGATGAATTATTGGGATTGCAGAATGATGTTGGTGCAGTGGTGGCACCAACAGGGTTCGGGGGAACACAAGACCCCTCATCGGGGAATACTGGCTTTATACAGCATTTTACAGTGGCATTTCAGAGCATTATGAGGTACCTTTTTCATTCCTGATGGTGACATAATAAATGTCAAAATATTGAATCCCAAAACGATGGCATGTGTGACCCAAAGCGGTATCACCATGCATGAAGACAAAGCACATGAGCATCTTACACAAATGACTTAAAAATTGTCTAAAGAATGTTGTCATACTCATCTTATATACAAGAATCTATAGCACAAGTCATAACACTTGAACAATTAGCAGGACAGGGATGCTTATCAGTACAAGCTATTTTTCACCTTATCTCTGTTCTTGACAGTACCATAAATGACCGAATAAGCACCTCTGTCGAATAAACATCACTGTTCTGGAAAAAGCCCACATGCTTGATCTAGGAATTTGAAACAGAGGGGCCAGGGAGGGACTTTGACCATCTCAGCCCCACAATGGCTGGGGCAGAGGTAAGAAAATTTATGATTATGGCACTTCTAGATTGTTGGAAATGGCAAACTCAGACTTCAATTTTGAATATATTTTTTCCCTTTTTTTCCTCCCATTGTTTAATTAATTTGGAAAAATTCAGAAGGGGGGGGGGGCAGCTTTCCCCTTAAATCCACAACTGGCACATCTCTTGAATACGCAACGAACTAAACCCTCCAAAAATGTTATAGACATCACATCACTTTTTCGGTCATTTACTATTCTGAAGCATGCGCAACACAAAGTACAACTAGTAACATGAGGATAAAAACACACAACTGAGGAGTGCATAATTTACTTAACAATTTATGGAATATTTAAATAATTGTTATTAATAAATGGTGCAAAGAATAATTAAGACTGAAGTTAATATATTTTTCCTCCATAGTTTCAACATATAGTTAGCATGATAAGGCAGTAACTGTTACAATTTGACACTTACAAACATGATCCCTCAAACCATGTTATCATGCCTAACTAGTGTTCCTGACATTACAGGCTGTTTTTTATTTACTATACTATTTAAAAAATGATATTAAAGAATTACAGGACAGTCTTAGTGAAATTTAAGATACTTTCTAATCTAACCGACTGATGATGCAATAACTTCGCTGACTGTTGGCTCTGTACTGCGTACTGTAATTTGCATGGTGACCGTGTCTTGTAAAGCAAGCCTAGCCCGGACAATGACATCGTGGCCGCCACGATACACCCCCGCCAAATATAAGGAATGAGAGCTTTTGCCTTCCGCTACTTTATCTGATCTTTCACACGGCTGCATGCCTAGGAAACTTACTACATTTTTCACAGCATCTGAAATAAACAAAAACAAATATTATTTAAAATACAGTTAAAATAACTGAAATTTAACTAAACAAGACATTAGTGAGAATATAAATTTAACACCAATTATAAAAAAAAATGAAAGTGATACCCTATACCCTAAATATGAACAAATCTTGCACTTTAAGCTTACATATTCATTCTTTACTGGGTCAAGTGGTACAGAAATTAGATTATGTAATATTTAGTATTATGTACATGTACAAAGTGCTAAATGAGGCATCTCAAAATATACATGTTCTAAGTATAGTATTCCTTAGTACATACTCTTAGACCTACAGGTAGTAGTGGAATTGATTAGCTTGGTGGTTATGATGCTAGCCTTAATCCCAGGGTCCTGGCTTGAAGTTCTGTGACAGGAAAATAAATTCTTTTGCTAAAACAACTCCCCAACCCCTCCCACAATCTCATTATGAAACTTAGCTATTAACCCTCTAGATACCGTCTTCGACTGTAGTCGAAATTGACCTCAAACCGAGAATTCCCATTTTCGACTGCAATCGAAATTTAGTGACTAAAAAATAGGTGGTTTTCAAATCGCTCTTCTGTTTTTATTTTAGCTCCAATACGTCAAAAATTTTGAACACGCATGCGTGAAGCTTTCTTCTTTCGAAATCTGTGAAGAACTCACATGCGCTAATATAAAAATGTTTAGAAATATCAATTTGAATTCGTTATTAATTTCGAAAATTTTCCAAAATGGCCACACAAGATGAGTTTTTAGATGTGCGAGACTTAACGTGCCTGATAGCGATGATGACGGTGGGGCTTCAAGCAGTTCTGACGGCGGAGATGTTCTTGATGAAGATGAGCCTAGGCCTAGAAAATTGAGGGTGGTCGTTGCTTTTGAATGGAAAGATCGTGCTTATAGTTATGGATGGTTGGGTAAATAAATTATATAACTGTGTGGAATAGGAATGTTTTATATTTGTTTTTATTTTTTTTTTGCTATAATTAATTTTTTTTTTTGGTTTTTGCTGACGATTTGTATGTAGCATTTTTCTGTCATTTCTATTATATTATATATATTATATTATATTATATTATGAATAAAAAATCTTAAAAATATAAATTATACATCAAATGAAAGCTTATTCTATAAGCTTTCTTTGTTTTTAGAAACATTTTTCTGTATAATTTACAGAAAGTTCCCAAAAATCCACCAGAACGATGTATACTCAAAAAACGCAAAAAACCTAGTTACACGGCAAAAGAATCCGGTATTCAAGGGTTTGCACTACAAAAGAATCTGGTATCCAGAGGGTTAAAGCATAACTGGGCCCTGTGGGAGAAAAGTGTATGTAGCAAAGACAAGCCAAAACAGGCACTCATCGCAAAAATCAAATATTAGTTATTCATACATGGTTAAACAGTAAAATAAGTGCTCTAAAATGGTAAAAGAATCAGTTAAATACGACATTTCGATATGAAGTTACAGGAGTTTAAACAAAAGAACAATATTTGAGAAATCGGCCTTCAAAGTGATTTTGGACATTTCTCAGGCAGAAACCATTACCAAATCGTTAAAAATTGTTGTTTTAACATTGAAAATGGGGAAAATAACAGCATAGAAAATGACATATAGTTATATAAAGTTTAATTTGGTGTAATAAAATAGATTTCAACAATATTGACATTCCAGCAGGTTTTTGCCATTATCTCTGAAACAGGATTTGCGACAAGTGACTGGTTTGGCTTGTCTTTGCCATGTATATATCTACTGAATAGAATACCCAGCATAAAGACAAATCAAATTTTAGACCACATTGCTCTAAAAATTACTCTCTCTACAGATATAGAGTTAAAATACTGCCGTCTATCTACAGCTAATGAAAATATAGATTCAAACACTTACCAGCAAGAGTCTTTGAAGCAAGGGCGTATGTCTCTTCGACCTCATTCTCATCACCGACCTCATCCCAAGAAGCTCCGAAGTTGGGCTTCATTACCCTCTGCATGTAATCTGAAACCATCACTTCCAAATCTTCCAGCTAGAAAAGATCCAAACAAACATCAGAGTAAAATATTTTCATTGTCATTCTTTTGCAATGTTCAAATACCCCTTGAATACATAAACATCATTAACTCCGCATTCTGTGATTGGATATAATGCAGCAGGTGGCCTAATTTTAACACTGGACCTCAACATAAAGTGGTGAATCCAGGATCGAAATAGAGGGAAGCCATGGAGGGACTTTCACTGACATGGTTAGGCGTAAGTAAGAAAAGTTATGATGGCCTTTGAATTTAAATACTTACAACATATTCGTCTTCATATCCATCTTCATCTGGCTCGCCTGTGTTGGGGTCACAATCTTTGACAATAAATTTGAATGTATTGCTAAATGTACAGGATACTGAAAGAAAAATAAAAAACATACAGTAATAATAAAGGTAACAATGTACATCCTAAATGGGCAGTTAGTCAAAAATTAGGCTGGCACAGTCAGAACATAGGCAGCACAACATTTTGAAAGCAGGCTGGAAAATATTCAGAACATAGGCTAGCCAATAGTCAAAAACAGTCACAACCAAGGTTAGAACATAGACCGGTGCACAGTCAGAGCATAGGTTGATAGGTACAGTACATAGTCAGACACTAAAACAGTACATAAAAGCCTGAACCTAGGGATATCTGGGCAGGTACAATTATAACACAGGCACCATATTATCAAGGTAGATATGTAACCTCCAGGCTTGTATAATCTAATTTATAAAAAAAAATATCCACTCTTCTAAATTGTTTTACCTGACATTGGGTCTTCTGGTATCTTGACGAGTGTGTATGTGGTTCCTGGCTGGTTGTATTTTAAGCATGGTATAGCAATATGACTAATGACTTCATAATCATCTGTTGGTTCCATTGCCACAGTAACATTCTCCAGTTGCTGATCATTTAATGTGTTTGTACAATCAAACTGAAAAGAGTGAGAAAGAGTAATCAAGCAAACATACACTGAAAAATAATATGTATTGTGCAATATTTTATCATTCAATTTTTTGTACAAATTTAACCATTTTCAAAAGTCAATTTTTATTACAGGGGGGAGGGGAAGATGGGGATGCAATGGGGACATGATGGAGCACTAGGCTGAAAATGAGGTGGTATGAGGTGATTTTTTTACTTAGTACTTGTGTAAAATTATTGCTAAGAAAATTTTCAGTGGGCAGAACCTACTATCTCTAAAGCACATACGATAGCTTCTAATAGATCCAACTGGAGTTGGTAAAACAATTGCTAGCTCCAAAGAATCTATATACTGAGGGAACAGAGCATCAAGCAATTTCCTGAAAGTGGGGGTGCACAAATTTTTTGAGAGAGCATGTGCCCCAAACTTAACGCCAATGACCACATATCAAATCACCTGTACTTGTGCCTTACCTGGAAAACAATGTGTTCAGCAAATGTGTGCTTGATACAGTTGACAACATATTCTGTTTCTGATTCTGTGAGTTCAGTGGGAGACGATGAGGATTTGAAGAGCGGGCCCAAGCCAGCAAACTCGGGTATAGCAGCCAATTGTTCTGGAAATTAATAATATGGAAATAAAATGTTATAATAAAAATGATATAATAATAAATTATGTAGGATTTGATACACCACTAAGCCTTTAAAAGTCTAACATCTTTGTTAAAAATCACAACAGATAAAAAAGTACAGTACGTTGAAATGGATCCTTTTATGTTATAATAATTTTAATAAGGAATGGATACATTTTAAAACATACAAATACATACCAGCAAAAATTTCTTGCCTTGATGCAGCACTCTTTTCTGGTCCTTTAGCAGCAGACACACCAACTTTTTCTGAAAAATATAACATAGCAACAATCATTAAATTAATATTACTTATACAGTATTTGTTTATATTTAAGTGAATGGAATATAAGTAAAACAAAAACAGTGAGTAACATAAATGTAGGAAGAAAAATTGACCGAAAAGATTGAATGAGAAAAAAAACTGAAAAAACTAGTAAAAATGAGTAAGACAGACACAGGAACACCAATACTTTCAAAAGATGAAGAAAAGAGAAAAGGCAGGAAAAGAAAACTGATAAAAAATATGCATGGCATTATAAATGGCATTCAGCAATGCTATTTATGATTGAGTCGGGGACAACTGCAATGATATAAGTTTAGCAATAGCGTAGTAACTTCATGGAAATCAAGTTTAAATGACAACATTTTCATTACCTTGTATTTTCTGTTCAACAAGTGGAACTGCCTGCAGTGGGACTGTCTTCATATCAAATGGCTTCTCTGATGGCTCTATGGTGTAATTGTGTAGTGCCCTCTCCAGTCCAGCTACAGACACATTCAGTCCTAATAAAACAAATTAATATAATACTTAGCAGAACCAACACAGATGGAATGAAATAAACAATCAGTTTAAAGGTGGCACATACTATAAAATATTTTTTTGGCAGACTCAAAAGACAGTGTATCTTTGTTTAAAACTTATTTGATCAATAACTTGTGTCTTTCCAAGTATGTTGAAAGCAGATAATGCTTAACTTCCTCAAAGTTTGATCAAAGTCTGTTAAGTCTGACAAAAAAAATCTGGTAGTATGTGCTTAGCTGTATTTAGCTTTAAGCAAGTCACGGCATCAAATGTGTTCCAACACAACCCGACAAGGTGCATGCATCAGATAGTCATTAACGACTATTTGCTCAGTAGGCCAACAATAATCAGCAGACAGCATCACGCAGTCAAGTGATCACAGAGAGCAGAGATGGAGTCGTCAGCCGAAGGTTTTATGGCGCAATGTGTGCGGGTATTATGGGCTTCATCTTACCATTTAAGATATAGGCTGAATTGAGCTGTTTCTGTTGCTCTTTAAGAACAGACAAGTAGAACGTGGCTCTGTCTCGTACCTCATCATCACCATCCAACAAACACCTGAAAGGAACAAGATGGAAAAATTAAATTGATTATATGAAGGAAAAATTATATTGATCAAACTAATACAATATTAGTTTTTTATAGTTTGTCAATTTAATAGTATAGAATATATAAATATTTCTTTATTTTAACAAAACTTAATGTGGGTACATATCAAAGAAATATTATTGAGGCTCAAGAAGGATAAAATAAAATATGAAAAACACAGGCACATAAAAACCAGAGAAATATGTTTTCATTATGCATTTGTACTAAAAAAATGCCCCAATTTATGGATTCATATAGTGAAATAAAAGGCCATAAAACTACCATTGATTTGAAAATTTAAGAGCAAAAATATCTGCAGATATGCCCATCGTATATGTCTGTTATATTTTCTAGTATGAGTACAAAATTCATCTGATAGCTACACATACCTTTCCAATAGAACTGTAACACTTGGCAACAAACTTTCGCAGTGAGCTCCAAACTTAGCCAGAGATGTGACAGCAGCTGTGGTTACACGAAAAAATATAACATAAAAAAAATTTGATATTAGATCTTTTCTGATATTTTTTGTGGAAAAGTCCAATATTTAAATATTAAGTAAAGTTACATGCTTGCTGTACATGAGGTTTAAACATTTACTAGGGCTAGTCATTAGCTATACTCAAACTTTAAAACATAGTTATATTCAGCAACACTACTGACCAGCTGTACTCGATTTGTCTAGGCCTACTAACAAGCTATACTATGTTTAAGTATTGAGTAGGGCTACTCACTAGCTGAGCCTTGAGTAGGGAAAATTAGCAGACTACTATTTCCACCATCATGACTACTCACCAGCTCTAATGGCTGCATTCTCAAGAATGACCCTGTTGTAGATGAACCGGATGTATTTGGAAGGCGATGAGGTACGCGGCCCCTCACGACCTAGAAGATGCAGTATACGTGTCGCCAACGAAGTGTGCTCGCAATCCTCAATGAACTCACAAAGATGTGCCAGGCCATCCTCCTTGGCATCAGCATTTTCCTCCACGATGGACATGATGGTGTCCACAATACTTCTCTTGTAGTCAAATCCACCCTTGACACATAACAAATTATGATAGTGATAATGATGATGATGATTTGTCATAGAGTAAAGCAACTGTTAAGAGTTCTTTTAATAAGCAGCAACATGCAGGAATCACTTTCATAATACTACTTATTTATGATAATGATGCTGCTGTAAATGTTTTTATAATGATAATGTTGTTGGTAATGGTGATGATGAAGGTCATGATGATGATGATGTAAATGCTCATGATGTTGATGACGATGTTGGTAATGATGATGATGATAATGTCAATGGTGATGTGGTAGCTGCTGCTGCTGATGATGATAATGTTGATGATTATGATGGTGATAATGATAATTTTACTGATAATGGTGATAATGATAATGAATAATTGTGCTGTTGATGGTTGTAAAAATGATGAATGATGACAGTGGTGATAGTAATGATGAATAATAATGGTGGTGATGATAATGTTGATGGTGACGACAATGGTGATTACAGTAAAGAGAATATTTATGATCACAATAACTATGATAAGACGACGATGAAGATGACATTGATGATGTTGGTAATGATGATGATGATAATGATAATGTCAATGATGCTGCTGCAGCTGATGATAATAATATTGATGATTATGGTGGTGATGACGACAATTGTACTGATGATGGTGATAATGATCATGAATTTTGTAAAAAATGATGAACGATGACAGTGGTGGTATGATGGTAATGATAAATAATAATGGTGGTGATGATGATGATGTTGACGAAAATGGTGATTACAGTAAAGAGAATGTTTATGATGACGATAACTATAATGATAAGATGATAATGATGATAATGATGATGGTGATAATGATGATACTGATAATATTAATACCGTAGTTCCTCGGGTGTAAGCCCACCTCTTGGAATATGCCCATCCCTGGTATAAGACCACCCCCAACTTTATGTTCCAGTCTTTTGGGCAAAAGCCCAGAATGTGAATTTTACAAATATTTTCAGAATTAGGCTTATAATATTAATATTTTCAAATATTGGCTTTGCAATTGGTATAAAGTGCCGAGTAAACTGCCAATGGATTAAAAAGGGGATTCCCCGGATATAAGCCCAACCCCTCAAAAAATTGGCCAATTTTATGTTCAAGGCAGATGGGCTTAAACATAATAAAATAATGATTGGTGCTTACCTCATCCCTAAGCATGGAGGACAGGAAGCTCATCATGACCTTGTGTTTCTTGGGGAATTTCATGCACAGCGACTTGATGGCCTCAACAACAACGATCTTGAACTCATCTGAAATTTCGGACATGAACGATGATATTTGCTTCATCAAACGGTCAACACTGCTCTCACTACCAGTCTGAAATTAATGTGAAGTTTAACATAAATTATTGCAAAAACATGATTCCATTTCATACAACTTAGCTCGAAGTAGTGACTCTTGATTAATAAATTAGAAATATATACAGCATTTATCTTAAGACCATTTTAGATTTATAAAAAATTTTAAATAATTTCCACAAGTTTACATATTGTATATGAAATGAAGATGAGCCCAGGTGTTAGCACTTATCTTTAATTCACATATATTATTGTTCAATTACTGCTTTTGGCTCTACTGGTAATTCTAACATTACATTGTTTATACTGTAATTATAATAAAATGAAAAAAATAAAATAAAGTTTATAAAATAAAATAAACATTAAAAAAAATAAATAAAATAAAATGAAATAAAATAAAATAAAGTACTGAAAGGAATTATAATGAAATGAATAAAGTTGTTGCGGCTTTTGAGTACTTGATTGTTAATTGTTTACGTAAACAAAAAAAGAAAATTGAGGAATTACCTTGAGTAAGGTGGTAATAGCCAGGGTAGCAATACTTCTGTTGCTATCGGTGATGAGGTTCTCCAAGTCCAGATTACATGCTGTCACTGCGGCTGGGTGTGACATAGCAACCTACCATGACAACAACAAAGAAATGATACTAGAGTAGCGCCTACACCACAGAATTTTGTTTTTCGTTAATTTGCGACCCCCAGTGATTAATAATATATAAATACATTTTTGTATTATAAAATTTATAAAATGATTGATTAAATAAATTTTTGTTTATATCATTACAATAGTATAATAATCAATTTATAAATGAATGACTTGGTAAGGCTTGACAGGTTGCAGATCTAACCTTGTTTAAGGTCCTAGTGGCAGCATATCGCAGCGTTGGCTTCGGCGAGCTTAAGAACAGTTGTAGGACTGACACAGCAGGGGCGAGTTCCCTAGCGGTCGTGTTCTTCATGTTCACAATGGCTTGTGCAGATTCGTATATCACCATCTAAAATAGAAGATAATAAAATAACTTAAGTTTGTTTTCCATAAAGTTGCTACAATCGATGACAGATAATACAAACTAGTTTAATGGAAAAATTATTAGAGTTAAATAAAATATTATGTGTGTGTCAATTGGAATGGCACACCAATATATACGTTGAGGGCAAGGCAATGCTAAACACAGCAATTTCAACCAGCATCATGTGATAACTCACCTCGCTCTTGTGGCGCAAACAGCTCTCAATGAAGTCGAACAAAGGTCCGTCATGGCTGAAAAATATGAAATAGTACATTTATTACATTTTCATTCATTTTTTAAAAACCAAAGGTGACTGTTGGTAAAAAAAACCATAACTGTAATCGAGAGTTTTTGTTTTCTCAAAAAATGATTAACAACAAAGTACAGTAATCTATTCTTAGTATTAATTTCTATAGCAATATATCTTAACAAATCTTATTTAAAGGTATATCATTTATCTTTAGTTGTTGAGTTGGTAGAGTTCATTTTAAGTTCTCATATGAGATAACAAACAATAGTTCATACTCACCCATCATCTTCATCATTAAGAAGTTTTGAGACAATGCGGATCTATCAAAAAAAAAAAGAGAGAATCACCAATATAGTGAAATTATAGCAAACTAATAAACACCACTATAATAGTAATAAATATATACCGTATTTACATGTACACTCCACATTCATTTATTCACTCTTCACAAAAATTTCATCTGGCACTTCCTAATACCCATTACCAAAATCAGTACAAGCTTACAGGCCTAGCAAAACTAGTATCAGTGTAGTCTCTAATGCTATTAGATAATAAAAAGACTGTTATTATTTTAAATATTTTTATTTTGAAGGTTACTATCACTGCAGTTACTCAAATATGAAATCTTTAGTTTCTGTCAGTTAAAAATAATCCCAAGGTAATTCCACCTCCTTTAAAGGCTCAATAAATAAAACATCAAGATGTGGACAAATTAGTCGATACAGGTAAACAACAAGAATCCACTGCTTACCAACAGACAAGTGGCATAGGGTGATTTAAGCGAGTGCTTGGTGTACTTGGTGATCATCTTAGAGACAGCAAGGCGGTCATTCTTCTTGATGTGATACAGCAGGCCTAGCGCATGGTATTGTACCATGATGTTATCGCTAGAAGCTGCTTCCGTGGCTTCGTTCAACCAACGCTTCACTACATCATGGCTACCCTTCATCAGATGCTACAAATTTAGAAATATTATAAAAATTTAATATTATTATTTCATTACCAAAATATCTGCAAACAAGTATATTCAACTTTTTAATATGTCAAATTTATCACTATATAGATATATTAATTTAATCAATTCCAGTCTATGAAATAATTTTTCTTAAGACTGATTGCTTGACTGAGTGAGTGATTGATGGATGGATTGATTAATTAATTGATTGATATAAATGGTGAACACCTACCAGTGATGAGGCAAGAGCAGCACTGGAGACAGCATGAACCTTGTCAACAATTGCTTGTTTCATGTAACGCTCAATAGCTTGAAGCATAGTAGACTGTATAAACAACAAATTGAGACTTTTAGAATGAGGTTTGATAGAAGGTACTGAGATACTAATAAAAATATTTGTTTGGCTATACGTAAAACCTCGAATTGAAGCCCAATGGGCTTAATCTTAAGATGAAGCCCATCTCAAATTGAAGCCCCCTCTATTTTTTGCAAAATTAGCCTCAAAAAGAAGCCCATGGGCTTCTTTTTAACATAGCATAGGATAGTACAGTACATATGCTGTACTTGAATTTAAAAAAAAAACATAATAAATTGAAAACATGCTTGGTTTATACAGTAGTTTTGGTGATTTAATGCGAGTTCTATTTCGTCATCAGCCTGTCGTTACGGAGTAGTACAAGAGACAGTACCGCGCATGCGTATGCCAGTTGTACCATTCATGTAAATGCTGCAGACTAGCGTTTTTTGATTGCGTAAAATAATTTTCAAAACTACTGGTTCCAGGATTGGCTTTTGTCCCACAACACGCAGACTGATCAATTCAGACAAGTATATAGACACTATACACCGCTTTTAGTTTCTAGAACAGGGCGGTTTTCTCAATGGATAACAAACTTTTTAATATGTCAAATTTATCACTATATAGATATATTAATTTAATCAATTCCAGTCTATGAAATAATTTTTCTTAAGACTGATTGCTTGACTGAGTGAGTGATTGATGGATGGATTGATTAATTAATTGATTGATATAAATGGTGAACACCTACCAGTGATGAGGCAAGAGCAGCACTGGAGACAGCATGAACCTTGTCAACAATTGCTTGCTTCATGTAACGCTCAATAGCTTGAAGCATAGTAGACTGTATAAACAACAAATTGAGACTTTTAGAATGAGGTTTGATAGAAGGTACTGAGATACTAATAAAAATATTTGTTTGGCTATACGTAAAACCTCGAATTGAAGCCCAATGGGCTTAATCTTAAGATGAAGCCCATCTCAAATTGAAGCCCCCTCTATTTTTTGCAAAATTAGCCTCAAAAAGAAGCCCATGGGCTTCTTTTTAACATAGCATAGGATAGTACAGTACATATGCTGTACTTGAATTTAAAAAAAAAACATAATAAATTGAAAACATGCTTGGTTTATACAGTAGTTTTGGTGATTTAATGCGAGTTCTATTTCGTCATCAGCCTGTCGTTACGGAGTAGTACAAGAGACAGTACCGCGCATGCATATGCCAGTTGTACCATTCATGTAAATGCTGCAGACTAGCGTTTTTTGATTGCGTAAAATAATTTTCAAAACTACTGGTTCCAGGATTGGCTTTTGTCCCACAACACGCAGACTGATCAATTCAAGTATATTCAAGTATATTAAGTATATAGACACTATACACCGCTTTTAGTTTCTAGAACAGGGCGGTTTTCTCAATGGATAACAGTGATTACGAGCCTAGGCCTAGGGTTGAGTTTCCAGCCGTAGGCTTGTTTAATTTTCAATTAAATACACTCCATGATACAGATTGATGTTACAGTGGCCTTATTTATTGTTTATTTAATTATTGTTTGTTTATTTTTTCATAGTACAAATTCCAAAACTTACAGCATTCATTTTGAAAAGAAGCCCCCCCCCCCCACTTTGCAAAAGTAGCCTCGAAAAAAAAGCCCATCCAAAGCTCACAAAAAACCCAGAGCTCCAACTCAAGGTTTTACGGTATTCTATTTTAGAATATCAGATAGTTTAGCATTTTAGTATTATGGTATTGTTATCACTGTTACTTACATCAGTTATCTTGCACAGAGCTCTGATGGCTGGAGCCCTGTAAGCATCTTCCTTGCCTGTCATATCTTTGGTGAGACTGCTTGTCACGATGATCACATCTTCAGAAATGTCTGCCATCTCTTTGATCAACAGGTACACCATACGTCGAAGGGTCACCTGCAGGGGTGCAAATAATCAGTTACAAAAAATAACAAAAGGCACATCCTATGCAAAATGAAATTAACATTATTATTATAAAGTAGTGGTTAATATTTTATACATTATTTAAGATGAAAAGGTGCCCTTACATCACTGGATTGGAAAAGTTTGGTCATGGCAAAGAAAGCCTCTGTTGCCTCATTAGTTCCGATGTGTTCTCCTTGATTGATCACATACATGATTTTGGTCAAAGTATGGCAGCTTCTTCTTGGATTGATTGGGGTATCATTGAAGTTTCTTGCCTGAGTAAAGTAAATACATAAAAAATAAACTAGGTTTGATTAACAAAAACTAACATATATATTTAAGAAAATCGTGAAATATAATCATGTATAATAGTTCTATTATAAATATTTAAAACACAATTTTCCTTAATTTCTTGTTTGAATTGCATATTCTAAAATCATGAATTTGTAACTAGCCAGTTTAATACAGATCTTGTATTTGTATATCAAAGTTTTTTTTCAAATTTAATGTAATTATTGTCATCTTTTTTACTTACAAGTAAATTATTACTTTAATGAAAGACACTTCACATTTTGAAAGACATATTTAACACTATTTATACATAAAATTTGTTATTTGAGAATAAAACAAACCTCTTGCAAGACTGAACTCTTGTCCAATCCCTGAAATGGATTACATGAGCCACCTGCAAAATGACAAATAAAGATTTGTAGACATATATGGAAATGACGAAACCAAATGAACAGCGTACAGGTCTCCCTCTAATTAAAGACTCCTCCAATTAAAGACCACTTTTCCGTGGTCCCAAATTAAGAAATGTCTTTTATTTTTATTATTCTAATTAGAGACCAAAGCTGTTAAAGTCCATTGAAATCCCAGTCCCAAAAAGTGTTGAATTGGAGAGAGACCTGTATTTACTAAGAGATTCCATTATTTATTTCTGCATATAATTCAGTAACTATAACCAGACATTAGGGCAAATAGAAAAATTATCACTCCTGTGGCACACAGTGGCTACCACCAGATTAGCCGACTGAGCCTTTTTGATGCTCGAGTAATGTCTGATTTTTTCACAGGAATATAGGCCTAGTTTTGGATAGGCCAGTTGTTTAAATGCATCTGCTACTTCAAAAAACGATGTCATGTTTGTTCTGTTCATGCACACTGGAAGCCCCGGGT